CATGTTCTCTCTCTAGTGTTTGTTTAAGGATGTTTACTTAAATATAATACGTTTTACTACGATGCAGTTTAACTGCCCTGTCACTTTATTGTCTTGAAAATAGAAAAAAACATACTAAATACAAAAACTAGGTACATGTTTTTAATGTTTAATTTCTTTTTGGTATTGCCATTCTATTTTAATCACTGGAATTAAGCTGGTAGATAGAGTCAAGCCTCACACAATTTATTAAGATAGTAAATGTGATGGCACACTCTCTTCACATTTTTTCTCTTTCGTTCACTCTTCCCTTTAACGCATAAACTGTATATCCCTTTTTTGTGTGCGTATATATATAACCACATGGTTTTAGGTATAACAATTATTCAGTCAACACAATCTGTTATAGTGTGACTCACTGGTATGGTTTTCTTCTTTCTCTCTTCTCTTCTACTGTATCGTACAGACGACAAGTACGAGACACATATATGTATTGTTTTTTTCCTTCACTTAGGGAATTTTCAGTATCAGTTCTCACAACAGTTCTTTTGAAATAGTTTGAGTTGTTTAGCAGCTCGTTTGAGTATAAAACTGTTGGAGCTGATCAACAGCTCACATGAGTAGGAGCTGGAGCTGATCAACAGCTCACATGAGTACGAACTGGAGATGGTCACCAGCTCTTTACTACATTTACTCACAGTTCACGAGCTTGAACTGTCACACCCCTACTTCTGACTCAACCTGATCAAGATGAAGTTGAAAACCAGTGGAGGCCCCCGATTTCATCAGAATCACAATCGAAGTTGCCGTTGAATGATCATAATTATTATCTATTAGTTAACAATGAAACAACTATTACCACAACAACCATAGAGACAATATCAGATATAACAACAACTCCCACTCGTCAAAATCATCGGTCACAGTATTTGGCAACATGGGAGAAGAAGATGGAAGCTTTATATAAAACGTACGTATTCGATTTATTGAGTGGATGACGCGAACAGTTAATGTGTTGGGTATACAAGAAGGTGGATGAAAATGGGGCAATAACAATGCATTGCGAACTGTGTGAAAAATTTAACAAGATAAAAAACTGTAATAGCAAGGATAATATCTGGGTCACAACGGGATGTTCGGAATTGTCATTTGACAAAATTAAGAAGCGTAAGGTAAATGAAGTACATAGACAAGCTGAACAACAAGAATTAGATACGACTTCAAACTCCCAGCCGAATTGGAACCGTACACGAACAAAAGAAATAACAAAACATCAAAAATCTATCCAAAATTTGATATTAGCAAGTATTAGCTTATGCCAAAACGATCAATCATTAAATAGTTATAAATCGAACTGTAATTTATTGGAAGCAACCGGTGTGCAAATGTTACCGTCTCAAGTGGTGGGTATATGTTATCGGAACAATGATGCTGCCTTATCGTTTCTACAGCACACAGCCAGTGTGTTACACGAAGAACTGTTAGAAAAAAAACAAGCAAGTCCTGTATTAGGTAAATAACTACCGTTTTTCATCGCATACTCTTGAGACTAAAACTCTTTTTCTCTTAGGCTGGATGAGGGATGAATCGACATCACGCTCGGTTCAAAAAAGCTGTGTCGTATATGTGCGATACATTGATCGTTTCGAATCCAAAACAGCATTCTATTGCCTAATGAACATGAAAGGCGATGGCACTGCGCAAAATATTGTGGATACAATTAGTGACACATGGCAAAAGGATGATTTAAATCGAACGAAATCCTGCTGGTTCGCCTGCGATAATGCGTCAACATTCACGGGTAAGTCTAAGTCTAACTCTTCTTCAAGAGAAGATCGTTAATATAGATCTTTATTGCAGGAATACATGATGATGTCGTCGCTAAGTTACGAAGTAAATATGCATGTGAATGGTTGCAACTAAACGCTTGTGCTGCACATTGTTTTGCTCTTGTTGGGTCGCAAGCCGGTCTAGAAATCGATAGTATGTATTTGACTTCAAAGCAATCGTTTATTTACTGCATCCTTTTTATGTGCCAGTAACCACTGGAAAACCAAAAGTTCGTGATTATGTGGTGAAATTCGAATCCGTTATTAGCACAATTTATGCACCACGGTTTTGAAAGATTTGCGGCTAATACAGGAGGTGGTAAGCGTGGTGTCGCATTTTGGGATCAGTATTCAGACATTGAGGAGGAAGCACGCGAATTTACTATTCAAGCTTTACAGTCGAAGAACTAGCTCAGTTTATAGACAACAAATATTATGAAATTAATGGCTTACTAAAAGACGGTTCAGACTATATTCGGTGTGTCCAGAGCTGTCGCCTTGATCTGAAAGCTTGGGGCATCAGCTATTCGACGAACCAAAGCCGTTCCTATTACTTAGACCACGAAAGAACAGACGTTATTGAGCACCGTGAGCAAATAGTTAATTTTCTGTTCAGAGAAAAGTTTTATTATCAAGTTTCAGAAGGGAGTGATTTAAAATGGGTAGACCCACCAGTTTCCGAACCAGTTATTCTGCTGTGTACGTAGCGCACTGGCTCTTCCCGGCGAAGGCCAAATTTCTTCAGGAAGGTTTTCTAGAGACCCTCCAGAGACCTCACAGAAACCTGACGTGACTCTTGTTAGATTTCTCATATTTTTTTACCTGTAATCTGTTAATTTGATTCGGTTTCGACGAAAACTGTGGGAGTTATAAAAAAAAAAGAAAGAAGGATTGGGAAATACGACCCGACAAGATAAGATTTATTTTTATTAAAGAGCAGGATATCACAAAAAAAAGAAACAAAATCTTGTGACATCCGTGGATACCCTGTGATAACCTAAAACTAAAAATTTAAAAATATAAATAAGTAAACAAAATAACATTATTAAAAGCCTGAGTAATCTCGCAGCATATTTTTGAATATGGCTAAAGAAGGTTGAGAGGCTAAAACAGAAGATAGTTCATTCCAATCTTTTGAGGTTCGCGGAAGAAAAGAGATAGATACAGATTTTGACATTAAACGAGGAACAAACATGCGACTATCGTGGCCTAATCGAGCTCATTGATACATTTTTGAGCCTCGAAAATGTTTGTAACACAGAAGACATCATCAGCAAAAAGACAAGAAAGTAGAGAAGATTTGAGAGATGGTGCAAGATCACTTATAAATATGAGAAATAAAATCGGGCCAAGGATACTGCCCTGAGGAACGACACTCTAACATAAGAAGAAAAAACAGAGCCTACAGAGACTTTTTGTGTACGATTTGAAAGATGAGAAGCGAACCATTTCAAAAGATTTCCGCCTATTCCTGCTTTAGCCAGTTTTTGTAGTAGAATATGATGTGGTACAGTGTCGAACGCCTTTTCAAAATTAAATGATATGCCAATTAATTTGCACCTTTTTTCTAGATGTGGTAAACGTTTGGAGTGAGAAGAAGAAGCGCATCTACGGTTGAAGTACTTGAACGAAATCCAAACTGAGTTGGGTTAAAAAAGTTTTTTGTGCATAGAAACGAGTATAAATCCTTGTAGATTAGTTTCTCTAACACTTTACTAACATTAGACAATAGTGAAATAGGACGATAGTTTTTGACGAGTAACTTGTTTTCTTTCTTATGTATGGCACATATAATAGCTTCTTTCCAGGGAAGAGGAAACACACCGATTGAACCGATGGAAATTATAGCGTGTGATGAAAGATTAAAATGTTGATCAATCCAGTTATTATTAACCATATGTGTTAATTGTTTAATTGAAGCGCCGTGTTTTGTACGAATCTTTATATCAAAATGTTTATCGCCCACAAATAGTTTACCTGGTTCTAAATCACGAACGACACTCGAACCAGTAATCGTAATAGGGACAGATGGATTTGATTTTGATTGTTCATGGTTAGATGAGATGAGAGATGATTATGATATGGAACTTGATTGCGTTAACTTAGCAGTAACGGATGATTTCTGAAAACTTTGTTGTACAGATTGAACTTCAAAGGAAGAGTGTAGCTTTTCAATTGTGACCAATAATTTGTCTATTAAATTAGTAGAGACGAGTTGCTGTTGAGACAATATAGATAATTAGTCGAGCAACTGTTGATTCATCTTCATAAGACCAGCTTGTAGATCGTAAGTTTGACGGAAATCTACACACGGTTCATTCAATAATTTAATATCATGATTTAAATGTACAATCGTTTCATCTGTTGACATCATTTTAGATTTAAACTGTCGTAATAATTCAACTAATTGACCTTGTGAAAGGTCACCGCATGACTTTTTAGAAGCATTATTTAAAGAAGAGAGATAAATGTTAAACACTTCGTTAAAAGAATTTGTCATTTTATTTATAATGTGATCAAAAGTATCTTTTTTAGTGATCATTTGTATCTAAATATGTGTGGTGATCAAAAGTACATTTACTCTTACAGTTTGGGTAGATTAGTCGTTATGGGACACTGCCAGCTCTTCTCTATTCACTTTTCCTCGAAAAGTAAATGTGACTAATTTTTCCATTCCTTATAGTTGTTGATATGCGTCGATTAGTCGTACATGGGTGTAATTTATAGTTTGAATTGTTGAGAAAAAAACTCAACTTCACACGATTTCGACGTGTGAATAAGCACACTGCTCATCTATTCATTTCATCCGAGATGGACAAGCAAAGTGCGTTGATTGCGCGGATCAAAAATGTGAAAATCCAGCAGTATTCACCACTACTCACATCTGTAAATCTTCCTTCTATACATGTACCCGCTGAGCCTGTTCCTCCTTTTTCTTCCTTGGTTTGTACTCATTCAAGGCAACCTTTAGCTCCCAATCCATCTCCTCTTACTCGTTTCACAGAAATTAAAGAAAAAAGAGAAATTCGTCGATTGATAAACCGATGCCTGAGTTATTATTATTATTTATTCGATGCTGGGGTATGTAGATTAAATATGTGATTACTTTCAAAAGTTAATTTAACCTAAATTTTTTTGTAGGATCTTTTTGCCCATGCTATCAAACTCCTTGCAAACGAGGCAGTGAAGCTCACTGGGTCCAGGCCGTGAAAAATGAGATAAAAAATGAGCCATAAATGACTCATTTATGTGCTATATATGCCTCATTTTTAAATCGTATCTCTCCCATATTTATCTCATTTATTGTATCATAATGTAGTCATAATTATGTCACTTTTTTATGGGATAAATATCATCTTATTATGGTCATCAAAATATGATCCTATTACGATCCTATTTAGATCATTTTTAGCTCATTTTAAGACTATTTGTGAGATATGAAATGCAAGGAGAAAAAATACGAAACGGCTCGTGCAGAGATTCGAACCCTGAATCTGTAGATCAGAAGTCTACGATGCTATCCACTACATCACACGGCTATACAAATATATATGTTTTTGTTCCTTCTGTTTTCTAATTTTTACTTTGAACTTGAAAAAAAAAAAGACAAAAAAAAGACAAAAAAAGAAACTAGTCATTTTGATTAATTGACCTCTATTTTTTTGCACCAACACTGTGGAGAGTTGAGCCTAGAGATTAATAGATAGTAAACTTAATTTTTTACATTTTTTTACTCTAGGTCCACCTTGGAAAATACTTCCTTCATGGCGAAAAATGGAAAATAAAGTTTACAAAAGGGGTTTTCACCCTGAAGAAAGGATTTTCTGGGGTCGGCTTTCGACTAAAAAATATCAGAAATTAAATTTACTATCTTTTAGTCTCTAGACTCAACTCTGTACAGTGTTCGTGGAAACTGGCAGAAAATAAATGCGCATAATTCCATAAAAACTGCTACTTCCGTTTGTGTCATGATGTCCCATAAATGACTAATCTAATACACATAAATGATATGATCTAATTATGATCATAAAATGTGACAAATATAATTGTAAGAAAATGATCATTTTAGTTA